GCCGCCCGCGGCTCTGGAGACACGACAGCATCGTGTAGATCAGTGCGTAGCAGTTTAACGCCGCCCGCCGGCTGTGAGCACACGACAGCATCGTGTAGATCAGTTGCTAGCAGTGTAACGCCGCCCGCCGCGGCTGGAGCACACGACAAGCATCGTGTAGATCACGTGCTAGCAGGTGTAACGCCCCCCGCGGCTGGAGCACACGACAGCGATCGTGTAGATCAGTGCTAGCAGTGCTAACGCCGCCCGCCGGCTGGAGCACACGACAGCATCGTGTAGATCAGTGCTAGCAGTGTTACGCCGCCCGCGCTGGAGCACACGACAGCATCGTGTAGATCAGTGCATAGCCAGCTGTTAACGCCGGCCGCGGCTGGAGCACACGACAGCATCGTGTAGATCAGTGCTAGCAGTGTAACGCCGCCCGCGGCTGGAGCACACGACAGCATCGCTGTAGATCAGTGCTACGCAGGTGTAACCCCGCCCGCGCTGGAGCACACGACAGCATCGTTGTAAGATCAGGGTTCTTAACCTTTTTGGCCCCACGACCCCATCAGATGTTCTTGGTCAGTACCGTGACCCCGAAACAAAAATTGAAGAAAATAACCTGATTTATGGAAACATGTCTGCCAATACTCAGTCAATGGGATGGCTGAAATTGCTTCGCAGCCATCAGACGATCAAAAAATTCAGGCAAGTGCTTTGGGCTTGTGGGCAACCAAATTTGAGTCACTTGCCCGACTGGGCAAGTGAGGAAAATAAATTTTATAGCACCCTGATAATTATATAGAATTTAAATGGGTGTTTCATTTATGACCCCTTGATAACCCCCGGAAAAACCCCAAACGACCCCATTGGGGTCACGACCCCCCAGGTTAAGAATCACTGGTGTAGAACAAACATGAAGGTATGTGTTGCTTCTCCCAGTACAACACAGAAGTTACTGCATCGTAACTGCATTTACAACTGCAAAGATTTCTGCCTCTTCCAGACAGGGCAAGCACTGACAGACACATGCGCGCACGCATACACACAGGCACACGCACGCACACGTGCGTACACACCAATAGATGGATGAATGAACAGGAACTTACAGATGCACTTGCCGCGATACTCGGTGTGTTCGTGAACGTTGCGCTTGTCGTGACATCCCACATCCCCAGTCTCACACAGACACCGCTGCTTGTACAGGTGACATTCCGTCGCGTAGGTGATGTTATGACTGCTGCACACCTGGTGGCAACAACACGTATTACGCCGTCAGCCGACCCGCACCCTCTTACAGGATCGCCTTCATGGAACGGACACTCATTAATTAATCATTAATCATTATTAATATAAAATTATTAAAAAATATTATTATATTATTTAAAAGTTATTATATATTATTATATTACTATTATTAATAATTAATCATTATTTATTAATATTATTAATAAAGATATCTAAATTAGATAATTAACGTCATCTTTTCCTCATTTCAGCGAAACATTTGTGAGACAACTCGCGATTGCTTTCCGTGTCAATGCGCATGTACCTCGGTCCTTGGGTCGTTTGATTTGACACAGGAGCGCGCACAGCGACAGTACGGTTCGTCCATCTCATTGAGGGTGCATTCCTTTCCCTCATGGCAGTGGTGCTCCCAGCACGGGTCTACACGTACGCACAGCGTGGAAGGGTTAACACAGCAGTGATACACACACACAGACACATACAGACACACACAGACACACAGACACACACACACACACGCGTACACACACACACACGCACACACACACAAACACACATACAGCATGGAAGGGTTAACACAGCAGTGATACAGTCACACCGACCATCGCTAAACACTAGGGTGTAACGATTAAGCGCGATTCAACTGTATTGAGGTACATCCCGTTCGGTTCGGTTTTCGTTGTTTTTTTTCCATTTCGGTTCTCGGTTTGGTCCCAGGAAATACATTCAACCCACTCTCTGTTAGGGGGGCGCACACGGCGAGCAAACAGCTCCGTCCCTCGCACTTTTCTTACTTTATTGTCTTTTGGCCAATGAATAACACAATAAATGTATAATATTATGCTAGGTAAATCGTATTATTATTATTATTATTCCAAATAGAGGGAAAATTTCCCCATCTTCTAAGCATTTTTAATTTTTTACTACTGAAAATAACCGAACCGAATGAACTGAACCGAAGAGCAAAAACCGAAAACTGAACCGAACCGAAAAAAAATGTATCGTTACACTCCTACTAAACAATATGATGACATAGTGTACTGCGCATGCTCACACGTGCAGTCATCAGGGGTGACGAATGAGAAATTTGTCATTGTTCATCCCTGGCAGTTATTCCAATGTGGCAATCTTCAACTGATGATCTACATCACTCAATGTATTCCAGCTTTTTAGCATAGTCACAAGCTCACGCACGTGCAGTCATACTAACGTGGCAATCTTCAACTGACAGCAAACAATTCGTAACGTAGCTACTAAGGGTGTAACGATTAATTTTGTTTCGGTTCGGTTTTCGCTTTTCGGTTAAGTTCATTCGGTTCGGTTATTTTCAGTAGTAAAAAATTAAAAATGCTGAGAAGATGAGGAAATTTTCCCTCCATTTTGAATAATAATACGGTATTAATACATATCATAATATTATACAGTTATTGTGTTATTCATTGGCCAAAAGACAATAAAGTAAAACAGTTCAAGGATAATAGTCATAATACTATTCATTAAAGTGATCTACCTGACCAAATTAGACTATTAGACTAGTAATCTCATGCATTGTCACCCCGCACACGCTGAGAATAGTGCGAGGGACGGGGCTTGGCGTAAGTGCTGACTGCTGAGCTGGTTGCTCGCCGCGTGCGCCCCCTAACTGAGAGTGGGTTGAATGTATTTCCTGAAACCGAACCGAGAACCGAAACGAAAAAAAAAACGAAAACCGAACCGAACAGGATGTACCGCGCGATACAGTTGAATCGCGGTTAATCGTTACACCCTTATGCTAGCCGCACACTATCCAACCCGAGCGTGATTTGAAGGCTTACGATTGGATTGAGATGTTCTAGTTTGGCTCGGGAGGCTTAAGATTGGCTCTGGAGCTCATTTTGGCCCGATTCGAATTTTGAATCGGGAGCAGATCGG